TTTTACTTTAGCCTAACGCCTATATGGTTTATGAAATCGTTTTATGTGACAATATATATATATATATATATATATATATATATATCCTTTCTTCATAGATAGGAATACCTCCTTTAGTCCGGTATATTAAAAGATATGCACTTATCGTATGTAATGAAAATTGACAAAACATTGTTACACCTTTTCCATTTTAAAATTTTAGAAACTTTTAATTTTTCGGTAACTATAAAAAATCAATTTTCAATTATTATGCTAAATCTGAGAATTATGCAATTACTAATCGAATTATGGTCCAAAAAAAAAAAAATTCAGCGCACTATCCATAGCGCATTAAACGAGGGAATCCTGTACGTAGACGTTCTGAAAATTCAGTAGATTTCTCGTAAAAGCAACTTTATAGATGAACCAAAGATGTGAAAGGGAGGAAAAGCTTAATAAAAAATTTTTTAGGCCAATTCTGCAAGTAATAATTTCTTCGAATATTCTTTCAAATCCTGCATACCAAGTACAGTGTAACCCGGATATAAGAGACCCTGATATAAGAGAAACCCGGATATAAGAGAGATTTTCTCTGGTTCCAAATTAGAGCTTGTGTTAATGTATATAAAATAGACCAAACCTGGATATAAGAGAAACCCGTATATAAGAGACTTCTTCTCCGGTCCCGACATCTCTTATATCCGGGCTACACTGTATCAAATTAATCCGATTTAATTCTGTATAATGAAATTGAAAATGCTAATAAATTACAGAGAAAAATAATTATCACTGTAACATCCATTGCTTCCTAGAACCTCATTCCGTCTCTCAGCATGATTTTAGTTGCCACTTTTATAAAATTTAATTAGAGTTTCTTGTACAATCCGAGACCATCTGAATGTCTAACCTCTTCTTTTGTCATTCAATTGGTTCTACAAACCACTAAACAATTTATAATCACAAGAAGCAGGGACGGGAGAATATGGAGGATAGAGCAAGTTTTTTCCCCCAATCTAGCACCTCTAAGTGTCATTTAATCTGGTTTTCAGAGTTAGGACGTGCTTTATCGTGATAGACGATTACTCCCTCTCTGTTGACTAAGGATGGACGATGAAGTTGTTAGCTGTAGTGATAAGCGTTGATTATTTGATTACGCTGGTCTACAACATGAAAGATTCAAAAATATAAACAGCCAATCCTAGATACCTTTTGTGTACTAGAAACAAATCTCATCCAAAGAATTATTGATTGGCTCGAAATTTCAAGATACGGTACAAGTTTATATGAATATTTCATAAAAATTGTTCTCCACGTCAGATTAATTATCATTTCCCAACCCATATTATTATATATAATTATTCTAGTAACCATCTAATTATAATAAATTAATTATCCATTTAGATCACCAAGAGGTATTTCAGGGGAGGGTGTTGGGCAATTATCTTGATCATATGAAAATGATATTTCAGGATCTGAAGTCAATTTCATACAATTCTGCTGCTTCTGGGCATCGTATATCTTCATTATGGTGTATAGGACACAAAGCTGATAGAATGTTTGGAAACTGCGCTGTCTATATCTTTTTATTTTAGTCTGTTTTAGCATGTTGAACTTCTTAAGAGTAAAGCGGGACTGTTAGGTTCCACGTTACAGCAAGTATGTTTCCTTGAATGATTAACTGAAGTCAGCTCTTATCATTATGGTAAAGGATCCATTTCTCAAAATCAGTAAGAAGCCTTTCCAAAAAAGGACGCTTCGAACTTACGTGTAAGCAATGAATCACAACAGGTTTTTGGCAATTTTCTCGAAACATGGCGCACGGGATCTATTTAATAACCACTGAAATCTTTCCAGTAATTTTCAATTCGCGTAGGCTAATTGCATGATGAATATTATATTTCTCACTAAATTTCCATAGTTTTAGTAGCAGGATGTGCTGGAATAATAGCTTTCAAATACTGTGAATTGACTTTTTTGGTCGACACTTCCTTGGTTCGTCCTCTAAGTCAAATTCCCAGTTGATAAAAGAACATCTGCAACTGCTTTCACACAATGCATCGACCCAAGAAGAGTGCTGGATAGATTTTGCAGCTGCACTTGCGTTGAAACCTTTATAAAACGCATTGAGTAAAACATTTCTGATGATTTTTTCGTTGAGACAAACTTTTGGGAAAATTTTCGAAATATATTATGCAATATTCTTATAACCAGAAAGAAAAATATATAAATTAGTCTGAATGAACACCGTAAAGGTGCAGTACTTTAATAGATTTTGTTCAACATTTACAACTAAAAAATCGGACGGAAATTTAAATCCAATCTCTTAGCAAATCTCTTTTGTCTCTGACGGTACGTGACTAGTTCACTCAAGAGACTGGTAACCCACGTAACGATTTATCATTCCTTTTATTTACCTGTTTCAAACCGAAGAGAATGATTCTTACGATATGGTAGTATCTGTTTTTATTTGTGCTTTTCTTTTTGAGTATGCAAACTCTTATCGCAGAGAGGCTGTCCTCACTTCATCAAGGTGAAAGAGAGAGAATGGAGACAAAAAAAAAGAGCCTTGAGTGAGTGAGTGAGTGAGTGAGAGAAAGAGAAGAAGAGAGAGAGATGAACTTTCAAAAGCCAGAGATTCACTTAATTACATTTTAGCTGAAATGCTATCCGATCTCTGCTCGAGTGTCGGAAATGATCACTGCCGCTCGAGTGATTTTTAGTTAAACTTTCATCTGCACGTGTGCACCGTCATTTTATTTATTTTGCATTACACACACACGCACAGAAATATATATATATATATATATATATATATATATATATATATATATATATATATTACTAGCATTTTGAGGTTTTCGTTCGTCACTTCCGTTGAAGAAACCTAAAACAAAGAGTATATGTATGATTAAGTGGGCGAATGTATTTTGGAAAGTATCCATTTAATGCATCGAGATTTTTCTTTCTTTCCTCCTTTCTTTATTTTTTTCTTTCTTTCGTTCTTTTCAATCATTCTTTCTTTCTTTCATTTCAAATTTTCTTTATTTTCAATCTTTCTTTCTTTCTTTTCAATATTCCTTTCGTTCTTTCTTTCGTACATTTCAATTACTCTTTCTAATTTTATTTTTCACTCTTTCTTTTTTTCTTTCAATTTTTTGTTTCATTTCACTCTTTATTTTTCTCCATATGGTTTTCTTACCTTATTTTTTGTTTCCATCATTCATTCATCTGCTCTTCACATTTTTGTTTTCTTTTATTGCAATACATTGCCTTTTCACCTTTTATTTATTAATCTCTCTATTGAAACATATTTCTTTCTTTATCGCCCTTACTTTATAGCTTTCTGTCTGATAAGGTCATTCATTCATTTCTTACAACACATTCCTTCATTCAATCTTTTCAGCTTATTTTCTTGAAATGCATTTCTCCTTCTTTCTTTCTTTCTTTCTTTCTAAATGTTCGTTTCTTGATTTCTTACTTGTCATATATTTTCTTTCTTACGGCCTCTCTCTTTCTCTCTCTCTCTCTCTCTCTCTCTCTCTCTATTATTTTTTTATTTATGTTTATTATATATGTTTCTTTGTTTATTTTTTCTCAAATATCAATTTATCTAACATCATTTCCTTTTCTTCACCACGCTCCAAAATTACATTGTCATATATTTATTTATTTTCATGTTCCTGTATTTTCGTTAATGTATATTGTTTTCACCATCGAATTTTACAGTTATACATATTTACGCACAAACACACACACTCATATATATATATATATATATATATATATATATATATATGAATGACACATATATATATATATATATATATATATATATATATATATATATATATATATATATATATATATATATATAAATGCGTGTGTGAATATGTATCACCGTAAAATTGATGGTGAAAAAAATAAGCATTAACGAAAAAAATATATGTATATATCTGTAGATGTTTGCGTATTATGCAAACAGCTAATTCACGGTAACATGACTAAAAACGAAACCTCGAAAGGAAGTTCGATTTCATTTAACCCTATTTATCTTAACTTTGTACCAATACCCTTGAGATGGATCCGATTTAAATTTTGTCTCTTTGCCAAATGTGTTCACATAATCACTTGCCACTGGTGCATCAGTTTGGGAAAATGATTAACAACCTTAGCGATCATCTGGACAGACTATAATTCCATAACTACCTTACCGCCCCGGAAGTAGCAACATAAAAACTGTTTCAACTCCCTACAGTCAACATTTACAGTTTTAAACAAAAATAGTTGAAATGCACTGGAAAAAAAAACGAACTAGTCAGCAACTACAAGGAAACAGAAATTATGGTCATCATGTGAGTTACAACTTGGAGATATAAAAGTTCAGATGTTCGATATTTATGTGAAGGTATTTAACAGACTATGGAAAACGTGACACTGGCATACGAACACGCATTATTCTCGGAAATCTAAGCAAGTTCTGAGAAACGGCAAATTTTCTTTAGAAAGAAAAGAGTGCTGGGTTAATTATGGTATGCACTCGCTTATAATGCAGTGGATATCGGACAATTTCCCTTAGGATGAAGGAAAAATCTAGAAGCTTCAAAAATATGGTTCTCCAGAAGAATACAGTTTTATGGACAGTGTAAGTAATCAACAAAGAAGTTTTAAAGAAAATGGCAACTCAAAAACACGAAAAGACATCAGAAATTCCTTGGATATTATGAGCATTAATTTATTTTTTACGGATTATCATCCCTTCGCTGGTTATTTCTAGCCAGGAAATAACTTTAATATTGAATGATTTTTTGCAGATGATGACTATTTACTGATACAAGCCCTATTACCTAACCCATAACTAGTGGTGGGGGAGATAAGGTGGATTCGCCTTTTTCCGTATTTGCGCGTAAGTGAATAAATCTCACCTGACTGGAATTTGTACTCTGTTCTCCGATTTTCAATTCTGAGCTGTTATCAGACGCACATCGAAACAGGCAGTAACTGGTAACGCCAAACGTTCACACATCTAAGGTACTGACCAGGATCGGCTTTGCTTAACTTCTGAGATCGTACGAGAACTAGTGTTTCAAATTGAAATGGCTGTAAGTTCCATAGGGCGTGGAAAAACTTATCTCTCATGGGGCATAGAAAGATAGAGAAAGACGGGGAAAACATCGAGCAAACTGCTAGGAGCTACAAGAAATAGACAAAGCTGGAGAGGCTTGAGCGACTACTACTACTACTACTACTACTACTACTGAAACCACCACCACCACCACCTCCCCTACTCCTCCCCTCCTCATCCCCTTATCCTCCCCTCCTCCTCCTCCTTGTTCAGTTAGTGAGATTTTATATTTTGGATGCATTTACAATTTCAAATAACTGATCAAGTAAGAAATCCTAAGAAAATTCTAATATTTGTTCATATTTTTTTTTTAAAAAAACCACAAGCAAGGCAGTATAGCCAGAGTTACGTAAGGGTTTACTGGGTGTGGAAGAGTTAAAAAACAGCAACATTATCAGGAGCCAGAACCGAGAAGAGGGCATCAGATAGAGATTGACATTGCATTTACATTTTTGCAGATTAAAGTTGGCTGGAAAACATGGAGCTGGAAGGAAGTTCAATAAGTTAGGAATGTAAGAAAGAAACTGTTAGCATAGAATTTACGGTGACAGCTAGCCAAATCAACGGTAAATTAGTGAAACTTCGCCCCAGTCTAGTACTGCTTTTAAATTCAATGTGTTTATGCACAATAACGAAGAGCTAAGCCTAACAAATATAATGAAACTATTTATAGAATAGCTAAAAGGAGCTAACCATATGGCTGTAGGAAAAATACTGAAGCCATGACGACAGACTGGGGCCAATAATATTGCCGATTCTTTGGATTTTATCAAGAAGCTCTAGATAAACAGCTGGATCACCGGATTATTTATGCCAGTATGGACAGATGGCAGACTTATATATATGTGAGATTGAGTCTGGATAGAAAAACCTTCTAGGACGACACAGTGAACCAAGATGGCAGCTGATCTAGCAGTAGATTCAATATAGTATTTCCTCTACATGTCAGTGGAGATCGTTAGCTCAAGAAGGCTTAGCGAGTCAGTCTCCTGGAGGTCAGCATCAGCCATGTTGACGGAAGGCAGAGAGATTTTTGTCCGTTGATTTGTTTAGTTTTGGAAGCGTTGGAATTGACAAGCCATCCTTTACTCGAGTTAACAATAGAATGACAGTCATTTTGGACATCAACTCTCATTTTGACCTCAAACTGATTAGGCTCATTTGGCCATGTTTTGGCATAAAAAAAAGCGCTGCCGAGAATCTTTCAGCCGAAGTTTATTTGTCAGTTTAAGACAATAAAATGTGTCGTTTCTACGAATTTCATTTAATTTACATTATGGATATAAAAATTGTTTGCTACGAATTAATAAGATATAAAGAACATCATATGACAGAAATATCAGCAGCTCATAATATTGGGTCATATTAAAAACAAAAAAAAAAAAATCTGCAGCTCCAAAAGGCAAAACAAAAGAAAGGAGCGTCAATTAAGAATCCAAGTTTGACAGTAAGGTTGCCGCCATATTAGAAACAGAACCGACAAAAAGAATATTACAAGAGTAAGTAAAAAAGTTATTCTCACTTTCACCGTAACATATGTTCGTCCCACTGCCTTCGGCTTATGCCGTTTGATACTGTTATGGTGACGTGAGCGAAGTTTGAGCTTGATCACACCAGTTTTCTTACTGCTGTTACAGTGTAAACATCGCCGCTCCGCTAGCCGTGTGCACGAAGGAGGAACAAAGAGCAGAGATTCGATTTCTCTGGTCGGATGGTGTGTCAAGGACTGGAATTCATCGGAAGCTTTTAACACAATTCGGTGATAGTGCACAATCGCGTAGAAGTGCGTATGAGTGGATCGAGATGTTTAAGAATAGCCGGACATGGGTGACGTACGAAGAAGAGGAAGGGGAAGAATGGCTATTAATCTCGCCATCTAACGAGAAGATTTAGTAATCTCGAGAGATGATAATGGCGAACCGGCGATTTATCATCGATGTTGTAGCATCTTCTCTGCAGATTCGGGTCACTGCACCAATTTTAAGCCCGCATGAGAAGAAGTCAGTGTGACGCACCAAAATATAATTTTTGACTTACCCTCGTAGGTTTTATCGTCCAAGTTTCAGTTTCTTGATTATCTCATGTGTAAAGTCCGTGTATTAAACGCTTGGTCTATGTGGGATCAGTCCGTGTTCTGTATTACAAGTTATGGCAACTGTGTTAACAATAAATAAACAGTACTAAAAAGAGAATCAGACGCAGTATACTAAAACATGGACCGTGGAATGAGAATTATATGTAGATTAAATAAAGGTTTCATTTTGAAAAATTCACGGTTGAATCATATCTCACATTGGAATTTTTTTTTAAATCGTTTTGTTTTATGAACAGAAGCATGGCACAATTGTCATGTGTTAATTTTATTTGAATTTTGAACAGCCTTGAGTGCCTGAAGAAAATTCCAAATGACAAAATAACTAATATAGCATAGTAGACTTTAATAGCGGGTGAAGGATTTATTGCTACAGAAATCGACTAAATGTAACAGCGAAATTAAATATCAATATACTAGTATTTTATATAAAAGAGTTATTCTTTTTTTTGTTTTGTTTTTTTTTTCAAAATCTAGTAAGCTCTATCGTATATGCGAGTATGGTCTGAAAACTTCATTGGCTGACTATGAATGGGGGTGCAAAATTTCTTGTATGTATTAATTTCAACTCTTCTTATTAATATCTGTATTTTCCTTTCCATGAAAACTTACATCTAACTGTTCAGACTGCTCATCCTGTTAGTAAAACATCATCAACAGCCGATATGATGTCATCATCATTGCTATTCTGGTTTCCAGCCAATACGTTTTTCATGTTGGGGAATAGATTATAGTTAAATCAGGAGAATAAGGAGGATGATCAACGAGTTGAAACCACAGTAACGCACAGCCGTCATTGAAACCAAGGTCTAGTGTGAGAGAGCATTGTCCTGGTGAATCAAGACACCTTTCTTTAGTTTTCCTAAGCGTTTTTCTGTGATAGTCTTTCATAACTAACTCGGCCTATTGTCATAGCCCACTCCATTGATATCGTGCCTTTTTCGAATCCAAAACAACTAAGGCCACCTCCTTCTGTGCATTTGAAACGACCTTGGCTTTCTTTGGAGTAGGTGAGGAGAGATGTTTCCACTGCATGTATAAAAATATCACTGTTTTTTGCTAAAAGAAATGAACCTAACACCCATATTGTGTTAGGAAATGTTCAACGATACTAACTGGATCTACCTCAAACAATGTCACATTTTCGTGTGACGTGATCAGTCTTTTGAACTTCAGATCAATTGTCAGAAGACGTGGAATTCGCCGAGCATGAACTTTGTCCTGCCACATTCATTATGACTCGACTCTCTCAAGGGATATACTAATATCATTGGCTATTTGATTTATAAATCGCCAGTCACCAATTACCATGTGGTAAATTCGATGTTTTTTTTTGGTAGTAGCAGT